GAGAGAGAGAGAGAGAGAGAGAGAGAGAGAGAGAGAGAGAGAGAGAATGAGGCCAGCCCAGCCCACCAGGGGGCGGGGCTGGCTGGCATGTGGTGCTGGGGACCAAACTGCGGTCTCCGTGCTTTAGTTTAGCTTGTTCTAGGTAGGTGCTTTAGACCACTGAGCCATCTCATCAGTCCCAGAACTTACAGGCTTTTGCCAGGTATTTTTCACAATGAACAAACTTTTTGGTACAAATTTCCATGTTTTTAACATCTGTTCTTTATGGAAAATACATGGTAAAACCTACTTGTTCAGTAGTTTTACCTAAATTTGTATTTCATTAACCAAAAGAGGAAGATAAACTTGAAAAATATTAAGATAGGTATATGTAAAAATTACTATGTGGAAATATGTTCACATAAGCAATTGATGCCTTGTCAAAACAGAGTCTCTCTGAAACCTAGTCCTATTTCTCCATGATAGGGTCTCGGCCCACAGGTTAAAATAACTAATATATACAAAATAGAAGGAACTATACTTACCAAGTGCCATTTGGAGTCTATGGAGAAGAAAACCAATTCAAAATGGCTTGCATAACAAAGATGGGCACTGGTAAGTGGAAATTTGAAAGGTCAGGTGACTTCAGTTTGGCTTCAGTTTGATTCACGGGCTATATGATGAAAACAAGAGCCTGCTTTCTTTCTCTCTAATTTTATTTTTAATTTTTTGAGACAGAATCTTACTGTATAGTCGAGGCTAGCCTTTAACTAGCTATGTAGCTCAGCCTATCCTCAAATTCTCAATCCTCCTGTCTCAGCCATCCAAGTTCTGGAATGAGCCACCATACCCAAATTCTTTCTCTCTACTTTATTAAATACATTCCAATGTCAGCTTTCCTAGTCAAGGGTAAGATACCAGTCTCAGGATTTATGCCCACGACATCCAGGACAGAAAGAGGGTTGGCTTTGGAAAGGCCTGTCAGAAGAATGAGGAGCCCTTTTTCTACAGTCCTCAACAAATACTCTGGTAGTCTAATCTGAGTTACAATTTAGGCCTGAACTAACCCCTGTGGTATTGACTGTCACTGGACTGATCACTGTGGAAACACATGTGGGGTTACTTGATTGGATTAAATAATAAAGACCCACCCCTGCAGCTGAGGGGTGGGACTAATATCTTGCCTATTAGAAAACAAAACAGTTTGTTCCAGAAGGGAGTAGGAAGGTAAAAAGATGTTGGGGGGCGGGAGTGCTCCACTCTGTACCTGGCACTAAATTTGATCCTGAGAATCTCAATCTCAAAGACAATAAATTTTGGGTGATATTATTTTTAAAATTTAACAAAAATGAACAAGTATGCTTACACAGACATTTTCTTGTTGAGAAACTCAAGAAGCATGTTTTAGAACTGTGTGTGGGAAACTAGGTAAAGGTCAGGCTTAGTCTTAGTTTACAAAGGTATAGTAAAACACAAGAAGCCATTTTTATACTGCTCTTCCAGAAGACAGGGGATGTAACCTAAGTCATAATCAAATGAAGTTGTTTCAGTAAAAGGGTTAAATGATGTGGTTCAGATGCTCTCCCTTCAAATGAACTAACTTACTGTAAACAGAGGGGGTGGCCTACCTTAAGATTTCTCCTTATATATCAATTCTCTATAAATAAGCTCAAATATTACTTCTAGAATATTTCAAATTTTTGTCATCTTCAGATTATCTTGAGTGTACGTGTGTGAGTACATTTGTATCTGTCTGTTATTTCAGGCAGTGCTGTGCTGTGGAACTGTATCTCTGGCCCTCATTTATTTCAAATAAAATATTGAGTACTGCCAGATGCTTAGTTTTGTGCTAACCAATATCATGAAAATGGGAAGAATTCAAAGCTAGTACATCTTTTATCAAGCAGTATAATAACCACTAGCTGAACAAAATCACTATAAGTCAAGGAATATGTTAACTGCTGTACATTTATCTGCTTACTTAATTTGCTCCTCATAATAATGCCTTAAACTAAGTAACAACTTGATTTTCCACAATGAGAAACCAAAGCTTAAATGGTACGTACTGTGAATTGGCTCAGCTGGGACGCAAATCTAAGTATTCCTGATTCCACAGCCCATATTCTTAATCCACAGCACTGCTGACTGGCAAGAAAACAAACACATCCTACAAGGGTAAACAGTATACAACAAAGTGCCCTGAGATACTTAGGAGTGAGAGGTAAGTAAGGCAAACAGGATAAGGAGGTGCCACATACACTGCTATTAGATGTGCAAGCCCTGCCCACATTGAGACCTAACTAATCAGACACAATCTGTCTCTGACCAACCTCTGACCCATAATCTACTCATGTATTATGTCTTTATCCTTTAGCGTCTGATAAAAATAAAAAAACTAAGAACATTTTTTATACCTTAGTTAACTTTCCAAACTCTCTTTAAGGAAAGAACCAGTTCTCTTTCTGATGTGCCCAGACTTCCTCTATATTCTTGAGATAAGGCCATTCCCAGAAAGAGAGAGTAAATTTGATATTCTCTGAACAAATACTAGATGATATCTGAATATTTATGATTGTTACAACCCTAGTCCTTAGAATATATGAAAATGGTCTTTGATCACAGGATTGTCAATAGCCTCCTTTGTGCTGATTTCCATGTACCTGAAGTTTGTGAGAGTGAACTGATGTGGTATCCTTTTCATCCCTCAGTCTCTTTACAAAACAGTTGACTTCAGGCTATCTCAGGTAAGGACAGAACTCCCAACCTTCAGGATATATTTCTAGGATCCCAAAATTCAAAAGAAGGAAATATATTTGCTCTACAAAAAAAAAAAAAAAAAAAAAAAAAAAAAAAAAAAAAAAAAGTGAAGCCTTAAGTATATGGATTTTTCCTTCTGCTTCCACGGGATTAGGGGAAAGAATATTTCTTAGCATTTATACAGTTAGCAGGATGTGTTATAGACCAATGCAAGTAAAGGCTTCTCATAAGGTAGAATGGTGAGTTAAGATTGCTACCTTCCAGGCAAAAAGAAATCTATTTTTTTCCATGAGCTACCTATTATAAAGGTAGCATATAGAAACTTGACTTCATTTTCCAGATTCAAAACACATTTGAAAGTAGCCTGAAGTGACCTATGAAAATGATTCACTACACTTTTGGACCAGAAAACCACACAAAATCATGCAAATCAAGAGGCTCAAATCTGTGTGTTCACCTTAAGAATACCTGTGAAACTGCTCAGGCCATCAAGGGTATGCACATCCAAAAGGCCACCAAATATCTGAAGGATGTCCCTATAAAGAAGCAACATGTATCATTCTGGTATCACAATGGTGGGGCTGATCCATGCACCCAGGCTAAATAGTGGGGCTAGACTCAGGATTGGTGACCCAAAAAGAGTGGTGAATTTTTGTTGCACATACTTAAAAATACAGTGTAATGTTAAACTTAAAGATTTTAGATGTAGATTCTCTGATCTTCAAACATATCAGGTGAACAAAATTCCATGTACTCAAGATGTGTTACCACACTTTCAGAGCTCATGGTTAATCTATGCTCAAGCTCCCCCTGCCACGGTGAGATAATCCTTACTGAAAAGGAACAAATTGTTCCTAAACTAGAGACAGAAGTTGCACTGAGGAAAAAGTTATCCTAGAAGAAACAAAAACTTACAGTGTGAGAGTAAGTTAAGCATAAAATAAATGAAAATAAAATTGAAAAACAACATTTTCATGCACCAGGTTCTGTACTAAAATCTCATAACTCAAATAATCTCAGGAAACAGACACTACTTGTCTCTCCTATGGCTCAAGAAAGTTAGATCTACCAGTCACAGGGCTGGAAAATTACAGTAGCATAACAGACTGAATATCCAGGCACCAAGTCCTTTGCTCACTCCATTATATGGTACCCACTCTCCCAGTGCCAGGGTTTGGGCCCTTGAGATATTATTATATAATAATATATGGTATTTGGAAGGTCAACCTCTGTATAATCAAGTCCTCACTTGACTGCCTAAAGATAAATAACAAGTCATCTTTAAGGGGGCACTCAGAAGGCACATGGTGGTAACTGCTGCAATAAATGATAAACACAGCAGGCTATAAACCCTAGAGGGAGAAGAATGCAAGAAGCGAGACTTGAGAGAGGGAAACCCATTCACTAATGAGGAGCTTCTTATGTTAGCAGAAGTTCTTCAGCACAAGACATGGAGGAGGCAGGCAGACACAAAAAAAGGGCTCAATGAAAAACTCTTAGATCAATTCTCAGCCTTAATATTACTGGCATTTTAGGACAGAGAGCTCTACATTCTAGGGGGCTGTCTTATGCATTATAGGATAGTTAGTCACATCTTTAACCTTTACCTGCTATTGCTAATAGCATCCCCCCACATGCTCCCAGATTCTGACAACAAAAGTTCTTAGACTATGGAAGGTATAATTGTCCCTGGTTGAGACTCACTGCCTTAGGTAAAGATACATCAAAATGGAGACAACTAAATGGCGGGTGGTAATGAAGTAAGTAGGGAGGCAAGAACTTAGAGGACAGTTAAGGATGTGTGCTCTAAGCGATTGCTTAACTACCTCTTTAGATATGGACTCTGAGGACATTAACACAAAACAAGCCCAAAGAGAACATGTGATGGGGTCCTTCGAATAATACCCACCAGCAGAATGTCTATAGAAGTAGAAAATGGACACTGGAAGTAGACAACTTGGAAAGGACAAAGGACAAACCCTTACTCTCTCTCCTTTTGGAAAACTGAAGTGAGAGAGGAAGACATTGGTAATGCTACAGGTTAACTGAGAGCCTGAAATTCTCACACCTGTTTGAAAGATACAAGGGGACACAAATGAGAAAAAATGCTGACCTAAGATGTGTCTGTAACCACAATGCCATCCTTATCTTCTCAGGCAATCTTCCTTCCCTCACTCTCATCTTTGGACTGCTGCTGCCCAGGAAAAGTGGCAAGAAGGGCCAGCCAAATAGCTCACTGGATTAAAGCACCTGCAAGCAGGTGCAGGAGCCAGGGATTCAATCCCCAGGCCTGCTGTGCCGGCCCCGCCCCCGTTGCACACTGTGACAGCAACTGAGACTGGGCATGCTGGCCCTGCCCCCAGGGCACACTGAGACAGCAATTGAGACTGGGGGTGGTGGCAGCACATGCCTGTAATCCCAGCATTTGGGAGGCTGTAAACAGGAGAATCACTACAAGTCCCATCTAGTAGTGAAATCCTGAACACCCTGTAGATCCTTCCCTAAAATACAAAAAAAAAAAAAAGGAAAAGTGGCAAGAAAACTGGGACATTTATGCCTGAGAGACAGAAAGAAAAGAGGAGAAGAGGGATGAAATAAGAGTTCTGAGAACCAAGAGAGACCTACTGACAGGGTTTATAAAGTGGACCATATTTCTCAGTAAAAAGAAAACAGGTTGGGTGAGGGTAGGAAAGGGAAGGTGGCACAGAACACAGTATTTTCAAAATGCAAATTCTGGGGCTGTCCAGATAGCTCAGTGGACTAAAGCACCTGCTTGGGCAAAGCACAGTGGCTGGGGTTCGATCCCCGGCCCCACCTCCGGGGTGTGCTGAGGTGGCTATTGAGACTGAGTGTGGTGGCACAGGCCTGTACTCCCAGCACTTGGGAGGCTGAAAACAGGAGAATCACTAGGAGTCTAATCTATGTAGTGACACCCCGTAGACCCTGTACTAAATACATTAAAAAAGAAAAAGAAAATTCTGGTCAAGGCACATGGTAATATTCAGTGTTCACAATATCATGTAATACCTGTGTATGGAGTGGGCATTATAATCTTTCTACGGAGGAAGAAAATGAGATGCAAGGAGGCAAACTGACAAACTGAAGGGCCTCCCAAGAGACCAAAACCCTAGGTTTTGTTGGCAGGTCCTTCCATGCTCTGCTTCCCACAGCTCCCATGTGTACCACCTCTTGCCTCAACATTAGCTGTGGCTCTGTTTATAGTACATCCATTCCAGGAGACTAGACTTCTAGGGGCTGAGTTTTGCATTCTGTGTCTCTGGCATTTTGTTAGGGGCTAGGCTCAGACCTGGTGGCTACCAAAGAAGTAAGCAAGAGAATGCTGACGTGAACAAAGGATCCACAGAGATCCAGCTGGGTGAATTTATGGCAGAACTAATGAGCACACCCAGTTATATAACTGCTTCTCTTAATTGCTCAGCAGCCATTAGAAAAGCAGAGCTGTTTTCTATTCCTGGCTATACATAATCTCAACTCTGGCCAAGGGACCATGTTACCGCTCCTCAGTTCTGTCATCATAGGCATCATTATTTTCCTAAAAACTTGGCAATTGGTGCTATAAAATCATATACACTTATGTTTTAGATACTCAAGATGAAATAATTTTCTCACATTTTCTGTACCTCAAAAGCATTCATAATTTGTGGTTTCACTTTGAGAAACTAGCACAAAATGGATGAAAATGAGATGCTGATGCTGAACATACATTTTGCACTGTTCCATAACCACGGCCTCAAGTTCTAGGATGTCAAAGCTCAACTCCCAGTAGGACAGTGTTCCCTCTGGTAACCACCACAGAGCAAGCCAGGTTTGTTTTGGGCTGTTTCATATTTATCTTATGGGATCTAACGCTAAAATCTATTAGTTCATAATTTCTGCATAAAAAGAATCACTTAATTGTCCTGTTGCTTACCTGAAAAATATTTTTGAGACTTTTTAAAGCACATATTTACTAAAAATTACCACACCAATGGATGTTAGTCCTAAAAGGGGTACTCTAGTTTCTAAATGCCATAGTTTGTTGTTCTAACATGAATTATATCCTTGAATACTTAAAATTCCATCTGTTTAAGTATATGCATTCATTTATACTTTTACTAATTTGGGTCTTCTAAGTCAATTCTTTTATAATGGTGAGATTTTAAAAAATGAAATCATGTATCTGATGTTTTATTAGAAAAATAGGTTAAGAAGACAGACTTTCAAAACTCCTGATATATTAACATTACTAATATACAAAATTTACTAGCATCAATACTAATAGTAGTGCAAGTATTCACAGACATGAGCTCTTACATAATGAGTATGTATACTACACTCCAAGACTTTCTTAACACTGAGCGGCTCAGTTATAGTTCCTGCTATTCAAG